GGAAAACAACCAATCAGAAGACGTTGCTTCTGTGCTAACAATAACGAATAATAATATACATAAAAATTTATAAATATCTGTTGAACTTCTCAATAAACGATCTGTTGGTTGGCCCTTGTCTTCTGTCGTTACAGATTAACTTTTCGATTGTGGTAGACTGGATTATGTGGAAGGCTGTGCGTGCGGGCGAGAAGACAGGAATATATTAACACGATAAGAAGACTCTAGGAGATTTGAACTTCATGGATAATTTATGTCAAATGTCTTCATAAATTTGAACAACTACAGGCAAAAATCAATAAGTTAGCAGAATACACAAACAGTGAAGACAGGACTTCAAATGAACCTGGAGAAGATGAAGTTGGTGAAGATAACCATCACCCAAATACAACAACAACAACAACAAGCATCAGTCACTTCCAACGGGAGGAATTTCAAAGAGGTCAGGCAGCATCGGTTGCATTTACAGATGGCACGGATGAGAATGTCAAAAGCAGAACCAAAAAGGCAAAGCACACCTGAAATCAGCGTGGAAATTCACTACACTCAGAATAAAGAATGAAGTTCGGATGCTCAGCGCCAATATTAAGTCAGTCACTTCTTCTTTATAGCTCAGAAACTTGCCGGGCGTGTCACGAAAGCATTTCCATCAGGCTACTGAAGACTTTTATCAACAACTGTCTGCTCTGGCTTCATACTGAAGATCAAATGGCCAGCCAGTCACAAAGAATTAGCCAACAAGTAACCCTGGGAGCGAACCAACCAAGAATCTGCTGGTCAACAAAAATGCTGAAGAAAATGGTTATGGATCACACATACACTGAGTACACGAGCTAGGCTAACACTCGACTAGAAGTCAGATGAGGAACAGCGATTTAGGCGTAATTCTGAGGGTGATATAAAGAGGATCGTGTGAGGAGCAGGAGGAGGAGATGAGGACTTATAGACAATAGGAAAGCTAGCTAAACAGCACTGTACAGAGCAGGATAAAGTTGATAAATGCTGTTGAGGGTCTCTTTTCTTTTGGGGACTCAGGGGAATAATAATACATTAATAGCGACCCAAAGGCGTCATTTGTTTTAGTAGATATTTGTTTAATAACTCAGTAGTACTATGTATGTCGGTGGTTTAACGGTAGTACACTCGTCGACCAAGCCTCACTTGGTCCGGGTCTGGCCAACCCACTACGGAGTAAAAAGAGAACAAGTACCGAAAAGCCTACGTCTCAAGAGAACAAACGCTTACAATAGTGTCATTAACAGGCATCTCCTTGATACGCATCATGAGGTGGAAATCGCGAATTCCTTTAAAATTATCAGTAGACAAAGGAGCTCGATTCTCGTCAAGTTTGCCGAAACAATCTCTATCAAACACCTGAAACCCAATTTATGCGTTCAGAAAGAAGTAGTTATCAGTCTCTCTTTGCCAACCTGGTAACTTGATGTCTTTATTCTCTTCTCCATTTGAATTTCGTAATCTTCGGCTTTAACCTCACCCTACTTTGGTATAGTGTAATGTTGCTTGTCTCTTGTTTCTATGGTTTGAGTTGAACTCAGTACATTGTCACCCAATCTATTAGTTACTCACCATTTTACATATCTCTCGTCCTTACTACATGACTCCTTTACCATTGTATGCATACATTTACTTTGTCTAAACTAGAACTGCCTGTGTAAAAACTATATAAGCGGGATTTTCTGAGCACTGTTCACTTAGTCTAGAACCTCCTATAAACTGATATCATGTAAAATTTGCAAGTATGTTGTTAGTACAGTTTCTGTACATTAACGTAATAATAATAATTTATTTAGGCTGTAAGCAGCAGCTGATGAGAAGCCAACGAAATAACCATCTGATGATAGCATATTATTCTGCACAAACCACACTGTTGTTCTTGCTTCATTTAAATTAAAAAGAGAATGTTGAGTGAGAGGCGAGCAACTACACCCCATAAAAGACAACAAAACCACTTGTACTGAAACTTCGCAGCTCAAAGCTTGAAGCCCTATGTCCCACTCGGAACTCAAAGGAATAAAACAAAAAAAATGGAATGAGTAGTGCTATGCACAATGATGTATGTAATGTGCAGAAGTGATGTGTCCTGCTAAAGTTTATGAATTATATAAAGTCTTCTATGATAAATTTGTTAACTGTCTCATCTTAGATAGTCGAATCCGCTCCATAAACAATCAAAATTTCATATTCATTCAATCTAGTTAAACAAAACAGAGAATGCTATGTTATGCTTTTTCCTATTGTGGCCGCTAAAAATGTGTGATACTATTAATATATGTGTAATACTTGGGCACTGTCGTAGTAAGTAATTCCATATTAGTTTCTTCACTAGATGTAACACACAGAGAAACAGTATTATTTACTGGATGACACAGTTTCCAACACAATTCATTATTGTTCATAATCATTCCATCATTTATAATCACAAGACTTCGAAACTTGAGTTTTATGGTTTTCTTTGTCCTCTCCTATTTGTCGTCGTTGGGGTAGTAGAATTTTCCAGATATCTGGGTGGACAGGCGTTGAATCATTCCTGTTACACGTGTTTGCAGTTGATTCGACAAAGTAGTAGAACAGATGCAGTCAGATTAGTGGAGTGAAAAAACCTAACAAAATCTAGATTAGTTGACCTGAATAAGGTAAGAAATCTAGAGAATAGTTCAGCTATAGCACGCACTACATGCAATTACACATAACCATACAATAGGTTTGGATAAGATGACAGTTTTAAAGTCTAATGTCACAGAGTGAAGGGAAAGACTGATAACAGAAGCTTTGTTTATTGGATCAACTGCAAATACGTGTGATAGGAATGATTCAACAACTGTCCAGTTGGACATCTGGAAAATTCTATTACCCCAACGACGACAAATAGGAGAGAACAAAGAAAACTATAAAACCCAAGTTTCGAAGTTGTGTGATCATAAATGATGAAATGATTGTGAACAATAAATTTTGTTCGAAAACTGTGTCATCCAGTAAATAATACTGTTTCTCTGACTATGTGATACATCTGATAAACAAACTAATATGTGTGATACAATAATATAAGGCGGTTTCAACAATCATAATTATTTCCTTTTATTTCTATTCATATCATTCAAATGTATTTCAGAGATTTCATTGTACGACGTGCAAAACGCTCTGAAGAAGAAGCCATTAAATCATTAACTAGTTATATGAATTCACTGGATCGGTCTTTATTCTTAGCTGATTTAAATGCATTCATACATGATGGTAAACATAAAGTAAGTTGTTTTATTAATATCAGCAGAAAGTTTTCAGCATTGTGGAAAAGATCAAATAAAGTGTAATTATATTCCAGTAATTTACCCACAATAAGTTTTGTTATTGGTAATATTTCGAGCAAAATTACTGCCCGTGTTCACACGACTGTTGGAATTGTTTTGTTCACATATTTATGATTTGTACTCATATATATATAGTTCATTATTTTTGCTCATTCATGTTTTTGTATTCAGTATTATATTCCAGGTTGTTGACAGTTGTGCTGCTGAGTCACCCTTGTTACATGTATCCAGTGTGACCTTAATGTGAATATAGATTCTGTTATAAGTCTCCTTTTCCATTTGTTCATAATAGTTTTTAGAATACAAACATTATTCCAATCGAATTTTTAGATTTCCCTGTCGATTGATTGGACCGAAGTGCTCGGTCTCAGGTTGGCATGTCGGCTTCTTGTGCAGATGCTTCGACGATGTCTGGGCATTTAATCAGAATTTAACCGGTGGAATCCGGGATGCGCATTTCGTCCTATTTGGGACTCGTCATCTGGATGTACCTGCATTGCCCAGTGAGTGAGGTGGCTCTCATAGCCCTAGTGGTCTAGTGGATAACCCTTTGGTGTTTGAGACTATCGGCCTCGAGCCTCGGTGGGAACATCATTACCCACTGGGGAATGCAGGTACATCCAGACGGCGAGTCCCAAATAGGACGAAATGCGAATCCTGAATTATACTGCTATTCACCATCCACCAATTAAATTTGTTCCAGTTGATATTGTGGGTTTTGTCCCATGCATGTGCAGCTATTGATGAATTTTTTTCTAAATTCTTGTAACCTTGTGTTCCTGTTGGTTGACCTTTAGTTAGGCGTTTATGTTCATTCACTATTATTTTGAGTGATCTGGACGTTTGGCCCACACATTTAGTCGGACACTCGGCACGACATATTTTGTAAATCCATTGTTTTTATCCGTCATTTTTATGGGATCTTTCAGCTGATTTATTTTATCTTCAATTAGATTCGTAGGTTTTGAGGTTTCTTCGAATTGCCTGTGATGTACATTTTTATAGAGTATTGTGATCGTTGTTTTGCCATCCTCCGTCTTTTCATTCTGCGGTTTTACCCTCTTTTTCTCTTTTTTATATTATCTTTGATAAATTCTTTCGGGTAGTTGTTGTTGAGTTGCATTTTGAATAGGACATTTATTTCTTTACGCTGATCCTCTGGTGTTGTTGTAAGTCTATGTATTCTATCTGCAAGACCTTGCATTAATCCCCATTTTACTGTGAGTGGATGACATGAGTGATAATCAATGAATCTTCCAGAGTGTGTGGTTTTCCTATATGGCGTCGTTTTAATGCTACCATCTGTTATTCTTTGTATTTTGCAGTCTAACATAGGTAGTTCCCCAATTTCATTCTCTATTTCCATAGTGAATTTTATTGAGTCGACATGACTGTTTATGTGTGAGAAGAATTTCTCAACATCGTTTTTTTCATTATTACTAACGTGTCGTCTACATATCTCCACCAACATTTTATTGATGACCTGGATGGTTTATGTATGAGTACAAATCATAAATGTGTGAATTAAAAAACAAAACAATTCCAACAGTGGTGTGAACACAGGTAGTAATTTTGCTCGAAATATTAAAAATAACAAAACTTATCACTGTGTGTAAACTATTGAAATGTAATTGTACTTTATTTAAGTTGTTTTAGTTAATGAAATCGGTAAAAAATAAGGCAATTTGTATTATCCGCTTTGCATTTTTTGTCTATACAAATACAAATTAAAGAATTTTGCCAATTAGGTTATTTTCCATAGCTCAGTTGATATCAGTGTTCTTAAGCAGTAAAGTTGATCCACTTAAATACACTGAGGCATAAAGTAATTAAATGAATGACGTTATGAAGTCACGTTAATTGAGACAGCTATTTGACATTAGATGACTGGAAACAATCGGCAGGAAGCTTTGGACCTAGGTTTTATGCTAGTTGGCACTAACATTGGTTAGAGAAATATTGGAAAACCTGGAAGTACTGGACAGCTGTTTCACCCTAGTTTGGGACTTTTCATCAGTACGCACCTGTCGTCAGGGTTTGAACACAGGACCTTCCGGTTGCAAGGGGATCTCGTAGACCATTAAGCCACTGGGACCCGATTCAATATCCAATCCATGAATTCTAACTTCTGTCAGTTCGTGACCAGTAGGGTGCAGCAGGTCGGGTGTGAGGACAAATACTCGTCGAAGACATTGGCTAGCGGTCGCACTATGTCGTGAATTGGCAGAGCTAGAATTCATGGGCCATTGGATTGAGTCCGAGTGGCTGGATGGTCTACGAGTTTGCCTTGTAACCAGAAGGTCCTGGATTCGAACCATGGCGGTGGATGTGCACTGATAAAGAGTCTCAAACTAGGACGAAACATCTGTCCAGTACTCCGGGGTAGTTTTCCAATGGTTCTCTAACCAATGTCAGCTCATGATGAAGTCCTGTAACCAGTCAATCGAATCCCTACAAACCAATACTTTTCACCAGTTCCCTACCAAAGCCTAAATCTCCAGCTCATTGATGGCTACTAGAGAGACGTCCTGAGAAGTTGTGGTCAGTGAGATCTTCACTGTCAAATTTTGAGTGGACGCTTGTTTTTTAATTTAAATTAATTTCTAATTTTTCATTATAGCTTGATGTCACACCGTATTTTTGCTACGAGTATGGAATTTTCAGCATGTGATATCGGTAGCCCAAATTTTGCAGGCCTACCATTGATATCAGATGTGCGTCGGCAGGGGATCGAACCCTGGAGTATGTGCATGGTCGGTGAGAGTCCGAACCGCTGTGCTACTGAAGGCATTGGGTGATAGTGGCGCCATATCACAAAAAGACAGAGTTAGAATTTCAGGGATTATTGAATTCCTGCCCAAGTGGTTGGATAGTCAGCCAGCTTAGCCTTGTACCCTGAAGGTCCCAGTTTCGATCTCTAGTGTTGTCGTGGTCGTGCACTGATGAGGAATCTCCGACTGGGCGGAACAGCTTTCTATTGCTCCCTGGGCGGTCATCAATGATCTCTTAAACTGATGCTGATTCCTGGCGAAATCCACTTTGAAAATGATTCAAATCCCTAATCTATAATCTTCCCCACCCTAACCATATTTAGTCATACGTAAAGTTCGAGTTAAACTTATTTATCAGTGTTAACCTCATAAAATTGTTTGGTACTTTTTGTATTTTATTATTAGGATGGAACTCTAATTTCATGTTATGTTGCTGTTGCTTTGGGCAAAGTTGTTGGTGTAGCGATCTTACGCGATGAAAATGTGAGCTTCTCAAATTTAACTGATACCATATGTTGCTTTTTTACCGTTACTTTTTCAGTAAAATTAGTGCTCAAGCTGACTACTCACCTGTCACTAGTTGACTCTACTACTTAAAATTAATCAAGTTTGCTGTCTATTACGAATGTAGAGTATTGATTTTCTTAAAATTGTTGTGGTAGAGTGGAGGTAGCAGGATTTATAACGGAAGCTGTATTTATCAAATCAACTGCAAATACGTGTAATAGGAATGATTCAACACCTGTCCAGTTGGAAATCTGGAAAATTCTACTATCCCAACGACGACAAATAGGAGAGAACAAAGAAAACTACAAAACTCAAGTTTCGAAGTTGTGTGATTATAACTTTGATATGATTATGAACAATAATAAATTGTGTTCGAAACTGTGTCATCCAGTAAATAATACTGTTTCTGTGACTGTGTGATACATCTAATAAACAAACTAATGAGGAATTACTTACTACGATAGTGCCCAAGTTTTACAAATATACTGATTTTTGAATGCACTGACATGATAACCTAATTAAGCAGTTTTTGATTCTTTTTTTAGTGGCTTAGATTTCTGAGGATATCTGATATTATACAACCAATCACATTTGCTTTTTTAAATTTATGGATTCATCTCCTGAGGTTTTGTAAATATGGCACACAATGTATTTTGTTAATAAACATTCTCGTGGTTGAATCTGACAGTTTGTGTCTAACTCAGTGTAGGAGATAAATCCAGACGACCAGCTTATTATCGTGTCGTGTCTGTTAGCTCATTCTAAACACGTTAGACGACATCACTCTGTCATATTGTGGTGAGAGCTACCTTCTAGACAAAATTGGTAGACAGCAATTTACGTCAATGTTGTTTACCTCCCAATTCTTGGTCATGAGAAAAGAACAACAGTAAAGACTAACTCAAAAACCAATCATAGTAGACTTTGCGTGGGCGGATACGATTAGCATATATATGGTCTGACCTTTAAAGAAACGGCCACAAAGAGATGACAGGATAACTTTCAGTGAGAAAACAACCAATCAGAAGACGCTGTTTCTCTGTTAACAATAACGCTAAGAATAATGTACATAAAAATCTATAAATATCTGTTGCCTGACTCTTGTCTTCTATCGTTACAATAACATTATCCTTACTCAGATTGAGCATACTATTTCATGATATAAATATATTTTACGTAACAATGTTTTCTTTTTATTTTAACCACACAAAATAAAACAACTTTACAGAACATAGAATGGCTTCGAACTCATTTTAACATTGAAGATTTTATATACTATACACATCATGCTAGAAATGAGCATGTTTGCTTGTATCATTTTCTGCTGGCTGCCAATTTCCATTCGCATACATCAATGTTTCTACGGGAAATTCTGCGTCAATCACGTAAAACATGCATTTACTATCGTGTACCACCGCCATATGTATATGAGTCAGTAAGTTTCAATATGAAAATTCATTTTAAATCATTTGATATTAACCAGTTTGTTGCTTAATAATAGAAAGAATAAAAATAATAATCCGGTATCACAAACTCTACTGCACTCATCATAAAGAATAAAATTCCGGTTTTCAGCACTAATAGTAAGTCAGTTGCATCCCTTCTATATTGGTCAGAGACTTGATGTTCGTGTGTCACGGAAAGTATTTTTTTAAATAGGCTACTTCAGACTTTCATCAACAGCTGTCTGCCTTCTCTGGCTCCATGCTGAAGATCACAGATGACCAACCAGAAACGATTAGCAACAAGGAACTCTGGTAAGCAGCGAACTCATCAAGAACCTATTACTGAACAAATATTTCGAAAGAAATGGGGATGGATTGAATGCACTTGGGAGACCGTTGAACGATATCATGTAACAGACCATCTCTCAAGTGAGAGACGACAAGTTGGGCATAAGTCTGAGAGTGAGATGGGTGAGATCACCTGAGGAGATGAGGACTTATGGTTAATCGTACTAGAAGACGACATGACGACTGATACACAACCACGATGTTTTCACTCCTTTGAGTTCCAAGTGGAATCTAGGGCTTCAAACTTGAGATTGGCAATTTCAATAGGTGTGGTGCTGCTGTTTTGTTGACCTCACAACAAACCTATCCTTTCCAACAGCGTTTACTACCGGCCAAGCAAGCTTTAGAAGTACGTCTGCCATTAGTCGAAGTCCAGATCACGTGCATGGTTGGCGAGTAAGTTAAATTATAGACACGCCTATTGGATTCTCTAAAGTGAGGAAAGCATGATTTAAGGGTAAGTGAAAATTATTCAGCCTTGGAAGGTTATTAAACTTCTGAATATAAGTTCGAGTTTTTTTCAAAATGATATCAGAAGCACAGAATGATATACGTAATCGTCACTTATGAATCTGTGGAGAAGTATAATAAATACGACGTTGTTAAATAATAATCAAAGTTTTGGATGTTATTTTGTGTGTTATTTTGCACATTAGACTGGGTGACGTAATTGCAGGGGTTCCATTATCCTTGTAGACAACATAATCAGTTCTAACAATAATAGCAGCTTTATTCTTGACAAAAATGTTTACACGGTATGAGGAATTCTCATCATCCAGGATCTTCATGTAAAGTAGCAATCAGTAGAGTAGATTATGTGACACAATGCTGTTCAGTTTGAAGCATAGACGATTCCCTCACGACATTTTTCTTTCATCTTCGAGAAATGCACACCAGTACTCCGAGATCCCATCAAAAATGTTCATGAATACATTGTGCAACACAAAAACATAATTGAATGAGAATTAGGGGAAACATGAAGCATTTTATTGAATGGCAATTCATGTAGTCAAGTGATTTAAGCTGGCTGCTAGAAAACATAAAAAAAGAAACATCAATAACTGTGAAAATACTCGTTATATCACCATTTGACTGGATCGAGGATTTCATCATGAGTTGACATCAGTTAGAGAACCACTGGAAAACCTGGAAGTACTGGACATCCAGCTGTTTCGTCCTAGTTTGGGACTCTTCACAGTACGCACTCACCGCTAGGGCTAGAACCCAGGACCTTCTGGTTACGAGGCAAGGTCGTAAACCATTGAGCCACTGGGACCTGATCCAATGGCCAGCCCATGAATTCTAACTTCTGCCAATTCACGACATAGTGCGACCATTTCGCAATGTCTTCTTCGATGAGTTACTGCCTCATCTTCAACCTGCTGTACCCCTCCATCCAGTCAAACTAAATCCCTACAAAACCAATACTTGAAAATATAGCATTTCACAGTTGTCTAATTAGTGAGCTATTAGAGTGACACATCATGGCTCAACTTCTACATATTCGCTATACCTGTTAAATTTTAAAACCAATTTGTATGCTTCGTATTAATCAAGTCAGGTTAAAGAACGGTTACTCGTTGATGACGTTAGCTACTGGTTACGCTATGTATACTGCGAGTCGATAGAGGTTGGAATTCATTGGCTACACATTGGATTGGGGGGTCTCAGTCGCTGAAAGGTCTATGAGCTCGCCTTGTAGCCGAAGGTCCTGGATTTGAACCTGTGCTGTGAAGAGTCGGAGACAAGGACGAAACAGTTCTTCAATAGTAGTCCATGAGAACTAGTTTTATGCATATTTATTGTTCGTGTAATCCGGAAATAACAACCTTTCATTGAGTAACATACCTCTTCTTGTTGAATTTCTGTCTATTTTTTTTTAAAAGTTCTATGTTGATACAACACTGATAACTTGCCTATCGAAATTAACTCCTGTCAGTCCAAGAAGACAAATTAAATATCCAAAAGCCTTATTAAATGATATAAAAGCACCAGAGAAAAGAGTTTTAGAAGAGGTGAATTCAATACCAGCCTTATTTATGACAACAGCAAAACTATTAATGGAACCGAAAGAAATAATCAATGCTAGAATAATTGTCGTCGGTGCATCAACAACCGGCTTAGCAGTACTTGAAACATTAGCCACATGGTAAGCGAGTAAAAACTACTTCACCATTTTTTTTCTTCTCCTCAATCCTTGTAGAATCATTTCAAACAAAAAGCTTTAGTCTATAAAAGTGCTATGTAAATGTTTTTTTTCATTCAGTTCGCTTTAAAATAAAGCAAAAGGAAGAGGCATCATTAGGATTGGTTAGTTCTAACGGACCTATTTTATCTCGATTCTATGGTAGACCAAAACTACACAAACCAAACATTCCCTTACGACCAATCGTTTCGCTTCCAGGAACACCAACATACAATCTATCTAAAGAACTTTTCAGGAAATTAAATTACCTAACAGAATCATGCGACCATTCTATCAATTCGTCAATCCAATTTTTAGAGAAAATCAAAAACATTCAAGTAGAAGACAATGAAATAATGGTGTCCTTTGATGTCACAGCATTATATACTTCAATTAGTCCAAAACTAGCAACAGAAACTATGCAACAATTACTCTATAGTGATGAAAACATAAAAACGCAATTATCAACTTGGATAGAACTCATAAAATTATGCCTTACAACATACTTCCAATTCAATACTCAAATATATGAACAAATAAAAGGAACACCAATGGGATCGCCCATATCAGGATTAATAGCTGAAGCCGTTATGCAAAGATTAGAATTAATAGCTCTACCTATAATTAAACCGAAAATCTGGATACGTTACGTTGATGATACATTTGTAATAATTAAGAGAAATGATTTAGAATATACCCATAAATTAATAAACAACATATCTGAAGACATCAAATTCACAAGAGAAGAAGAATTAGATAACAAAATCCCATTTTTAGATGTCTTAATCAGGAGAACCAACACAGGAGATTTAGAAACACAAGTATATAGAAAATCAACGCACACAGATCAAATACTCAACTATACTAGTAATAATCCAATCACCCACAAACGAAACTGTGTGCCGACATTGTTCAAAAGAGTTCATACATATTGTCACACTCCAGAGTTGAAAAAATGTAAGAAAAGTACCTACAAACGGTCTTCAAAAAGAATGGTTATCCACAAAATTTCATCAAAAAGTGTTTAAAGTCGAATCAAAACACCAACAAGAAACCATCATCAAAGACCACAAGAAAATTCATCCTATCATACATGAGAAATATCTCTGAAATAACAGCTAGAATACTGAAACCGTTTGATATAGATATACCACACAAGCCAGTAAAATCGCTTAATTCGATATTATGCAAACCGAAAGATCCAACAGAAAAAGGAGATAAAATTAATACCATTTACAAAATAAATTGTATGGACTGCAATAAGCATTACATCGGTCAAAGTGGGCTTCCCCTTCGAATTACAATCCAAGAACACAAATCAGCCGTGAAAAGACACGATATGTATTCTTTAGTATCAATGCATATAGACAATTATGGACATCAGTTTGATTGGGATAATGTCGAAATCTTAGACAGAGGAAACACCAGAAGTGCCAGGGAATTCCTAGAAGCCTGGTACTCAAACGAAAATGCAATTAACAAACACGTTAATATAGACGAAATATACCAACTAATAAAAAGTAAATCAGGTGACCAGAAAGTTTAAAATCCAAGTCAATAGAAAATGGTCAATACATATGTAAAGATGGTTACCGGGAGACGGACGCAATTATATCACTCATGAAGAAATTTAAATCATTTCACTTTATGCTAAATACTGCGCTGAAGATGTTGTCCAGAAGGACGACGAAAGCTCCGCAACTAAACCAACCAGCTCAGAGAACACTATTAATTGCAGTTCATATGTTTCCTAATTGTTTGTTCTGTTAGGACGGCAAAACGGTGAAGTTAAAGAATAGAGAGAGATCCAGGCAGTGTAAATGCACGACTGACCTTGATGTAACCAATCAGAATAAAAAGATTTTTTACACTTGAAAATGCTGTTTACTAAAACTATTCAGTAGAAAAATAAGGAAAATAAAAATAGTAATAATCATTTTCAAGAATTGGTTTGTAGGAATTTAACTGATTGGTTTGAGGCTTTCATCATGAGCTGATATCAGTTCATGCACAACATTCATAGTGGCTCTATAATAGTGGCGAGTCCCGTTATTCAATGAATAACATTCATTCAAGGTCTTTGGTGCGTTGGTGATTTCCAACTCGGCCGGACAGACTTCTTTTTTAGCCATAAAGTCATGACTGGAGAGTTTTTAATTGGTTTATTTATGGCTTAAATTCCTGAGGTTTTATATTATGTATTTTGTCTACTAAACGTTGTTGTGGTTGAATCTCACTTTCGTGAGTGTATTTCAGTATGGCAGATAAATTCAACTGATCAGTTGTATTCTGGAGGTTCATTTTAGTTATTTTGGACAAAATCTCATTCCAGAACTGTTATGATGCTGGATCCTTTGTCACGCGGTCACTGCTTAACTACTGACCAGTACCCACTAACTGGTAAAGCAGAACACGAAGAGATAATTGACTGATGACCTGATAATTGCATGTTTTGCCTCTTCCTAACAAGACTCCAACACAACAACTTCGCATCTTAATGTGGAGCAAACCTATTTGGTTGGGCAGCTAGACCCATTTATTCATCGTTTTTGCAGTTGGTATGGATTAGCTTTAACCCATTCTTTGAATTGTTTAGATTTTACATGATGTTAGCTGTCGTCGAGTTATGAATTACTGTCCAGTCAACATCTTGAAACGAATTTTGTCTAAATAACGCCAAACGGATCTTATGTTGTTTCACCTTAATTTCTCAAGCTCCCATTTCAGTTCTGCAGAGTATCAGTTGGTTAACAAACTCAAGCCTAAAATTTTATTGAACTAAGCAGTTTTGTCTGTCTTACTTTGACTTTGTAGCGTGTATTTTTCATTCTACATCTTATCCTAGACAGCTTTGAGAAACAAATATGTATTGCACCAACAATTAGTTTGTAGGCGCTTTGATTCATTTCATGTTTTTCGATCATGGACTGATGTCAGTTAGAGAACCATTGAAAACCAACCAGAAAGTAATGGAAAGCTATTCCGTCCCACTTTGGGAGTCTTCAGCAGTACACACACATACATGAACCCCCTCCCGCCCCGGGGGACGAACCGAGCACATTCAGGTTACTATCTCACTAGTAACTGGCTACGGGGAAGAAGTTGCCTGGAGTTCTAGTGAGAAGTCGTGACCAGTGGGACCCACCAGGTCGAGTGTAAGGACAAATATTTACCGATGAAACTGACTGGTGATAACGCTTAAATCGTGAATCGAGCGAAGTTAAAATTCATGATTCATTGCGTTCCCAATCAAGAGGATTAAATTTAATTTAGTGGCAGTCTAGGAACCCACAGAAGTTTGAGTTTAAGCATTTAGTAAGATTCAAATTATGCAAATATAACTTCATTCTTTAATTTAACTTTACGCATTTTCTTATGAGTGTAATCATTAAAAAGAACCGAACACTTATTTATTTATTTATTTCTAGTCCATACATTCGATTCACGAATCTAGTCCTGTTATCTCCACATGGACTTCCTGGAGATACTCTGGAGAAAATAGATCCGCTGGCTTTCAAATTTCTACCTTCAGAGTAAGCTGAATTATTATCTGTGGATTTTTTTAAAAAATTTGTATAAAATTCTAAGCAATTAGTTATACTATTCATTATTTATTCAGTAGTATGAGTTTATTTCTTCATATTTTACAGTGTTTTAAATTAGACTGAATCAATCAATATCGACAGATTACAAATCAAAAGCATATGTATGTGATAGCTTGCATAAAAATGTAATACTTAACTGAATATCAGATGAATTAAGGAAAGTAACTGAAAAGTTATAGATTTATGGGCTCCACAGCAGTAGTAGTTGGAAGCGTTTCTTTTGCACACAAAGTTCCGGTTGACTGAAGCGAATTGTAATGCCCTATACTGTTTGATCTGTTCGGTATCTAGAGGCCTTCAGTAGTTTATTCAGTACCCGAAAGAGGTGAAAGAACATTCAATGTTAGATTTGTTGCCTGTTTTTACGAAGTGATCTAATATGGAACTGCTGATTGTCTTAACTACACCTTTACTCATCCCCACTGGTAGTGACACGGCAGGAAACAAAAGACTTGATAAAGGAATGCTGATTTGCAATTTCGTATCTTTATATAGCCAAATTATTTACGCCTTATCATCAAATCATCATTTGCACAGATCTTCCATGTTGTGCTACTTCTGGTCTCTATATTGTGATTCTTTGTTTATCTCCACAACACTGTATTATTTGCTTTCTCTGACATCAAATCTATTTCCCCGTTACCTGATGTTTTTATTCCGATGAAAGTCTCTTTATACAGTTTTGATAAATCTTATCATTAGCACACGCCACAATAGACGTTTCCAAGTACTGGAATTAAGTTTATGGAGCAACGGTTAATATATCTGCCTCGACAGGAGCAGTTGAATTGATACATAAAACTAGATGTGGCCTGCCTAGTTACATCGTCTTTAAGTTTCGGAATTACAGCCGGTCGTGTGGAAAATGTGAATTGTGGCCTACTGGCACTATGTCTTTCGAATCAGTCTTAACTTGGTGATCGTTGTTTCGCTTGATACATCACCTTGGAAATGCAGTTGAGTATTAAGAGGCTTTTTTTATTAGATGCAATGTAAATTCCTATTCTTATCAATGTATCTCATACAAACAACTTTGGTCTGCTCTATTATGGATAAAATTTTATTTTAATAAAATCACACAGTGTTATAAAGTAATATTTACTGATGACAACGTTTCGAGCATAAACTATTGCACTCATAATCATATCAAGTCACTCATAGAACTTTCTTGCTTCGTTTATATACATGAGTAAAAACTGATGATTAGATATTTGAATAAAATCAATATAAGATAAGGTACATTCAGAAATAGTATCAATGTTATCAATAAAATACAATAACGTGCTTTGATTGGACACTGGTAACTAGTGTGCTGTCTAGTCCTTCCTTTGGTGCAGACTGAATTCTATCAGACAGGTTTACAATATGGCTACTATTCTAGGTCGCTCGCCATCATGGTGCACATTGAATCTCAGAAGGGACATAAGTTCCTTCAAGGTTACAGATACGCCTTGCTGACTAGTGAGTGGCAACTGGCACGAAACCTAGGTCAAGCAAGGCTTCCTGCCGATTGCCTCCAACCATCTAATACAATAACATGCATTAACACACAACCACACAATAGGGTGGGTGGTACAGAGTCACAATTCTAAAAAGTAATACAAGTAGGTGGAGAGAGAGATTGATTACTGAATCCTGGTTCATTGAGTCTACACCCAACACATGCAACAGAAATGACTCAACGCAAATACCAGAGATATGCATGGAAGATATTATTACCACCAGTCAAATCAGAGAACGATAAATAATGTTGAGTTGGAAACATTTATTTCCTGATACGAATTTAAAACAAGCAATAAAGGTTAATAAAGCAGGATTTAATGAATTCATCAAATTTCGGTAGAACTCGTCAGCTGAATACTCTACATACACGGATATATATACTTTTGAAATTACATTGGGAGATATAGGACTGATAAGTAAATAAACTACATTGAATTAGTCATGCAGAAAGACAGGTGCGAATGTTTTTCCAGGTCATGTTCAATTAGATAAGGGGAGAGAGCGTATGAGAGATCAAAATTAAGATAAATTGCACTACGCTTCAATTACATCACTTAGATAAACAATTAGACATTAGAGAATTTAACAAGAATTGCAACCAGAGGGATGTCAATAGTAATAGTTATAATAACAATAATAATAATAGTGTTGAAGTGAGTTAAGATAATGCTACTGATAAAGGATAGTTTTAAATGAATCAAGAATAATAATAATGAGAATAATAATAGTAATAATAAAATAATAATAAGAGGTAGAATTATAAGTAAAACGTATTACCATGGTAGATTCAGAGTCACGACCATCTCCTTTTGTACACAGAGACCTGGTTTGTAAACTCGAATTTCACAAGCCTCTGCAATTGCAAGCATCTTCTTGTTTCTTTGTCTGCTGACAATGGTGAATGACTTGACCGCGTCGATATCATGCCCGTAATCCACAAGATGCTTTGTTATTGAGGATTTTGGCACTTTGAACTCAGCTGTTTTCAACCATTTTGGCAAATGCTCCATCATGCGAGTAGACAATCGCCTTTCCGTACGACCTATGTATTTGCTTCCACAAACACACTCATTAAATTGATATACGCAGTTTGAAGTGTCGAGGATTGGCGACTGGTCTTTCCCAGATTGTTGAAGCACTCGCTTAGTGGTGTTAAGAAAAACAAGTTTTGCAGCATAATAAGTTCTCTTGATGGCTTTGTTGAGTCTTCGTTTGACTACTTCCTGTACATCATCTCCTTTGAACGGCAAGCTGATATAGACAGGTTTCTTCGGAACTGTTTGGATTGTTTTGCAGCGGGTGTTTTCTTTAGAGTATTTATTAATGAACTTCTCAGGATATCCATTCTTAGATAAGATATCCTTCAGGGATTTCATTTCATACTCAACAGTACTGTCAGAACAAATTTTTCGTGCTCTATTGAACAGTGTTCTGACTAAGTTCTTTTTATACTGGATTGGAACAAAGCTCTTGAAATGCATGTACTGTCCTGTCCATGAGGACTTTCTAAATATAGATCTTTCGATTGTACCATCATTCATTTTCGCCAGAAAAACGTCTAGGAATTTGATAGTATCATTTTCCTCGTGTTCTACTGTGAAACTGAGATTTGGATGGCATGAGTAATGAGAAATTTGATGAATTCATTAAATCCTGCTTTATTAACCTTTATTGCTTGTTTTAAATAATGTTGAAATGTATTCAATTCAGATTCTAACATAGTCATTTATTTATTTTACTATAAAACATCTTATATCCCATCTTATCGACAAACAACACTAGTCTTAATTGCCATCCTATTGTATTTTATTGATAACACTAATATTGTTTCCGAGTTTACTTTATTGATAACATTGATACTATTTCTGAATGTACTTTATCTTATATTACTGATTTTATTCAAATGCCTAATCATCAGTTTTTACTCATGTATATAAACGAAGCAAGAAAGTTGTATGAGTGCCTTGATATGATTATGAGTGGCAATAGTTTGTGCTCGAAACGTGGTCATCAGTAAATATTACTTTATAACACTGTGTGATTTGATCAAAATAAAATTTTACCCATAATGGAGTTATACTCTATCACAGTGCCCAAGTTTTATCCTTATACCAACTTCGTTCTCCATCAGATTTGTGATACTCTGGCCAACCAATCTACCTTATTGTAGAGAACAAAACTACTTGTCCCATGAATGAAATAAGCTAATGTAGCTATTCATTCATGTGTAAATACAAGGTCACATGGTAAGATAACGAATAAAAAAGTGGTGCCATACCTGGAAAAGAAGTATAGCGAAACATTGTAAGCGATCTACTACAAATTATGTGACAACAAAGAAAACGAAAAAAGGCAGACTGAAAATAAGGTGATTAAGATCACAATATTTATGAATTTGTATCAGATGATTGTGTGAAAAAGGCCGTAAACACAGTCCCTTTTCTGGTGAATCGCCACCTTACTCTATTTTCTACGAATATTTCACTCAGCCTCATGAATAACCACAAGCTTTCATTTTGTTTCACTGTCATCTCTTCCACATCATTCTTGCATGTACGAAACTCGTCGTTTCTCATTTAGTTTCCATTCATGAACCCATCACGTGATGTTATTTCGAGGGTTTATTAATGCATGTTCAATCCATCCCCATTTCCTTCTTCAGGTTTGTTTTTTGACCAATAGGCTATTGGCTGATTACCTTCCCGCAAGAGTACCTTGATGGATATCCTTTCTGGTCAGGTATCTGATCTTCAGTATCATGCAAAGGGGGCAAATATTGATGATTGTCTCCAAGCCGATGGAAGTGCTTTAGGTGACGCACGCGCCATGTTTCTGTAACATGTAGAAACACAAGCTTGAAACTTTGACTCTTGTTTCTTTAACTCATACTTAATACTGATTCCGGAATAATAACAGCCTGCCTATTTGTGTCTTGCTTCTTCAATTTAACCAAGATTGGTTTTCACATTCTCGTCTGTCCTGCCTGTATCTGAGATGATTTCTCCCATTTTTTTAGTGACTGGTGCTTGTTGTTGTTGATAGTGCGTCAGTAGCACAGAGGTAGAATGCTCACCAACCGCGTAGAGGGTTTGGGGTTTGATTCATGGCCGATGTACTCCTTTACCTCGCTTAGCCAGCAATAAGACTGGTAAACATGCAAGGTTGAGCATGAGGCTAGCAGCCTCATTCCATGAAAATATACAACACTGCTATGGAAACTCTAAAGTTCTAGCTTGCAGGCGTATGTTCCGTGGGATCGTAAAGAAATAAAAAATGTGTTTATTGTTGTTATTCAGGCATCTTCATCTTTTTATGTTCACCCGAAGCCTTTCCAGTCTTCAACGCCTCTTCTGACAACCTTTTGGCTTTTTCTTGTATATCTTCGAGTTTGTGGGACATGACAAATATATCATCAACAGAGCTCCTGAA